TAGTCGAGGGTAACAGGTCGAGGGTACCATGTCGAGGGTCGAGGGTACCATGTCGAGAGTGGAGGGTACCACGTCGAGAGTGGAGGGTACCATGTCGAGGGTCGAGAGTACCATTAGAAGTTAACAAAGACATTCTATTAAAAAAGTATTGAGAAATAATAATTTAAAATGTTTAAATAATGGCCGTTTTGGCTTCCTTTGTAGCGCGTTCATCGCCAGAAATTTCGGATATTTGAGCCTGCAATGAGTAAGCAGCAGTTTCTATTGAGCCTGCAATCTTAGGTAGCAGATTTGTCCTAAAACATACTATTTGCCGACAAAATGGCGTCTAGAACCGATAAGTGTAGTCGGGTAGGAGAATCTAAAGGAGAATGAATTCAGACATTTTTATGCCGCGGAATTTTTTTGAAACTCGCGCGAAATCTGAAACCGCTGAACAGTGAGTCGTGGTCTCACAGAGAAGGGGTCCCATTAGGGCCCTTTATACTATGGAATAAATTACTGTTGTAAGACATTTACCGCTGAAACATTTAGCTGAATGTAATATGAAGAAGTATCTTTATTACCAATTATACATAAGTATATACATCCAATTAAGCTTTATAATTATAGTAATTTTTTAAAGGAAAACAAGATTCAGGTAATAGCTGTTCAGAATAGCTAATCGAGCTGAGCAGCCGTTTGGAGGAACAAGCTTTCAAACGATGGGTTTTTCGAGCGATTTGAAGCATTCTTTCAAATTAAGTTACAGTCTTTTGAACTCAGCCGAATTTAGAAGATTTAGCGTGTAGTTATGAAGGATTTTAGTGGATGGATTTATTGGCGTTTTTCAAAAGCAAAAAGTATACATCAAAGTACTTCTGTCACGGAATAGGAAGGAATGGTGAGTGTTATGATCATTTCAGGAATTAGTTCCAGGGTATACATTTGTAACTTTTTGCTTTGTTTCTGCTCAAAACTATAATTTATGACTACACTTAGCGGCTGTGATGAATGGCCGCCCACACGTCTCTTGTAATTCAGAGCTACTCAGAGCGCGATGTTGTTTTCAAAAAAGTATACATGAAATTTTACCTCTGATTGAAATGATTAACATTCTCAAGTTGCTGAAGCTTCACTTCATCGATTCCCGCCTATACATTTTTGAAAATGTCCCTTTTTATCAATTAAATGACCAAAAACATTTCGATTCACATACATTCTTTKGTAAAATTTCTACGGTCGGTAACACATAAATATTGAGATGTGCCAGGCGTTCCGCGCGGGTGATGTCCCAAATTAGCCACTACAAAAACGAGCAAGGGACTGGGTTTTGAAAAACGACTGGGGAATATAATTAGCAAAAACGTTTTCTCATCTGATAGAGCATCTTTAGATTAGTAAGTCTGGCAAGTTTGAACGTGTTTTGTTAAAAGGTACCAGAGTCGTCAGCCCTCAAAAATGTCAAACTTTTACAGAGAATGTATGGCTTGGGTAGATGGATTTGACATTTTCAAACTTGTCAGACTTACTAATCTAGAGATGCTCTATCAGATAAGAAAACGTTTTTGCTAATTACATTAAAATTCAAAACTCGCCCCAGTCCCTTGCTCGTTTTTGTAGTGGCCAATTTCTGGCGATGTAATTGTATTGTGTTTGGCAGTCATCACTGCAGCGATAATCCAAATTTTTAAGTGTTTCACTTGTGTTTCTATTACTCCTAACTAGTGACAAAATTCTGTTGAATTGAAATGAAGCTACTTGGAAATATTCACGAAAATGTCAGATTTTTTGCTGATGAAAATAGCACCTCCCCTAAAGTACAAGGCCTTATTTCTCAAAGTTGCATTCATTAAAAAAAAGTCGCATTTGATATTTTGTTCTTTAGACACTAAAGAGCATATTTACGAAACATTGAGCTTATAGACCCATTGCACGCATAAATTATCTCAGACTTTTTCTTTATAAAAAGGTTTATTAATCCAAAAACAGTCAAAAGTATAAGAAAACATTATTATAAACTAAATAAAATAAAATAATTGATGAGATATGCAAAAACGTTAACGCCTAATTAGCATATTACAGATTTTTTCTGATATCTTTCAAACAAAGAGTCAACAAAGCTCCTAAGCCACTGGATTGGTTCATTTTAATGTGTTCTCTGATATCATAAGTGAATTACTGTTAACAAATGTTTTATCATGAAGAAAATGTGTGATCACTTCTTCTGAAGTTCAACTGGGGGACAAGTGATGAAACCGTTTTTTTTAAATCACAAGCTTTTAAAATAGCGAAAAATAGTGTAATATGTTTCGTATGAAAGCACAAATTCTCCTTACACTACGAGTTTACAAAACTGACCAATCACAAAAAGGCTTATAAAGCATGATTGTCAACGATTTCGAGCAGATTTGTGAACATTAGTCGCTTTTTTTTGAGCTTTGGAAGTGAAAAAATGTTCTTCATATGGCAAAGAAATGATTTAAATAATACTGAGAAGACAAGAGAAAAATACTGTCATAGTTTGCTACGTTTTTCATGTGTATATGCAAAATATAACAGACGAGATGGATTCACGAAAACAAAAGCTGTAGCTTGAAATTTGTCAGTTGAACTTTTGTTATCAACAGAAAACAGAATTGGACTTGCTTTAAAAATGTAAGTAAGAACTTTAAATAGACTCGGTGTTTAGTCTTTTTTTAGGGGGAATGCGAAATAATTTGTTGACTTATAAGCAAAACAAAGATAAATTTTATGAAGTTGTAAGATTATGTTGTCAGCTTTTTTGTTTAAATTCCTTAAGGCAAGAGAAAGATAGAAAATTAGATTTAAAACATCAAAAAGCACAAATTTTTTTAAACTTCATTATCTTTTAGTAAGGAAATATGAAAATGTTTAACAAAATTGGAGAAAACACGGAGAAAAAGTAGATAAGTTAAGTAGATTGTTCAAGCCAGTTCAAGCGTTCAAGACGTGCGTAAACAATTCGCTTGAAAAAGTCCAATAAAGCTAAATAATGTTTATATTTTCCATGTTTTTTTTTTTATTTCACCAGCGGCGATTTTAAGTAATCTTATATCGGAAAAAGATCGAGAAGAGTGAAAAACTTTCTGAAAAAAATATGATGACGTCAGCATTTTAGATACTCTCATCTAAAATGGCTTTTCGACCAATCAGAGCGCGCGTTAGAACTAAGTTATTTTAAAAAAATGTTTTCTTATACTTTTAATTGTTTTCTTATACTTTTAATTGTTTTCTTATACTTTTAATTGTTTTCTTATACTTTTAATTGTTTTCTTATACTTTTAATT